CAGCTATAATCACTACAGGGATTGCTATGCTCTTCATACTCCCTTAGCTACTGAGCTCTTGTAAGAGCTCTTGTTCCTGATCCTGCTTCGCTCTGCAGAAGGAAGAGGTTCACCTACTGCAACCTGGAGCCTGGTCGTGGGTCCAGGGCACAGAGCAGACGGCGAGATACCAGCCCAGCAGCGGTGGTTCGTGGAGTCTGCAGTACTTCTGGTGGCAGTAGTTATGGTGTCTACGGTGCTGATGGTCCTTTGGTGAGCGCTAGGAGCATTCTTTCTACGGTCCAACTTTCAGCCAGCCTGGAGGCAACCGTAACAGGTACAACTGGGTGTATATTGACTACTGCATCATTAACTGCTCTCAAATCTTGTACAGAACGATATTCATCTGATCCTGGTTTCTGAACAGGTAATAACGGAGTGTTCCCAGGGGGAAGTACAGAATTTTAGGATGCCATATCTTACGAACTTATCCAAGTAGGTCTGTGTGTTTTTCTTAGCCTTTTGAGGTATATGATACTGACGTAGGCTCACAGGATAGGTCCCAAGCTTTAGTTCAATATGTATAGGGGGAATATTACGAGCAAGCCCAGGTGGATTACTCTCTGCCCATACTCCTGGAATGTCAAATAAAGGTTCATCACTCTTAGGGTTTACACTTGTCATTATGGAGTAGAAGTGCCATTCTAATTCCCTTGGCACCGATACCGCCATTATGCCTGGTAATCCATTAAACCTCAGAGATGTTGATCCATTGGGTAGAAAAGTTATCTGGGCTTGAAGCTTCGATAATAGATCTCGTCCTAGAAGTTGAATCGGACACTCTGGCATATATAGGAACTGGTGCTTCACCAAATGGCCTCCCAGAATGCAAGTGCGACTTTTAAGAACCAGGCTAGGTGCGCTCAGTTATAGATTTTCCTGAAGGCGGAGCCACCAGTTTAGTCACCACGGAATGTTCAGCACCAGTGTCAATCATGAAAGAACTTCTCTTTCCCCTTATTGCTACATCGACCATAGGCTCCGCTCGGCCAAAGGGGATGGAGCCCGGTCGGTATCAATAGTCTTCCATGATAGTGTCAGCCAGACCCACAAAATCTCTATCCGCTCCATCTCTTGGTCTCTGAGTAGGTGGATAATATCTACTATTCCCACCGTTCCCTCCAAAACTTCCTCTTCCTCTATAACTACCCCGTACTCTTCTCTTTCCTTGTCTATTATTTTCATAATGCTCTCTCTGTGGACACTCATTCTTCCAATGTCCTTCCTCTCTACAAAACGCACATTGATTCCTACTTAAAGGTCCCTTAATCAGCCTATTCTTGACTCCTTTATTCACCTCCCTTCCCTGTCTTTCTACACTTGTGATAGCTACTGCTAGCATATATGCCTTCCTCATTTTACGTTCTTCCTTCCGCTTTATCTCAGTTTCCCTATTCATTTACACTTTATTTGCGATCTCAGTTAGCTGTGATATGGACATCCCTACAAATCCCTAACTTTTGCAATTTTCTTTTAATATCACCTTGGGCCTGGCTGACAAATGCGGAGTTAATCATTTGAGAATTCTCAGGGGCCTCTGGATTAAGAGGAGTATACAATGTATATGACTCCAATAATCTTTCATAAAAGGCACTAGGTGACTTATCAACCTTTTGCAACACCTCAGCTGTCTTTGACATTGATTGCCTTCTTCCCTCCTGCCTTTATGCCAGCAATAATGGCTTCCCAATAAGCCCTTAATTGGGGCATGTCAGCACCATTCACATTCCAATTTGGGTCAACATTTGGATAATGGGCTGCAGCCCATGCAGCTGGATTGGCCTGATTTTGAGTACAGGCCAATTCCTCAAGCGCTTTAAGAGCCGCTTGATTAATCCGGGTCCTTTCCTCACAATTAAATAAAGTTAATAATAATTGCTGGCAATCGGCCCAGGTGGGTTTGTGTGTTTGTATAATAGATGCAACCAAATCTGTCATGACTTGAGCTTTGTCGGTATACGAAGAGTTACGAGTCTTCCAATTGAATAGATCAGTTGTGGTGAAGGGGACAGACAAACACTGGATCTGCCTATTGTATTTGGCCATTTTCGTCATCGTGTGTTGGGCCCGGTATAAGTCGGAGGGGCATTTGGGTACCTTGAAGGGTACCAGTCATCTGTCGGGTTAATATAGGACTTCGGCAAGACTGTTTTATAGTAAGTTCCGGTCTAGAGGTAGTAAGGTAAGGAGAATGAGGCGGGTTAATTTTACTGGGCGGACGTTCAGTCAACAGGATGTTGCGGGCCGGGCTGGGAGGAGCCTGACCAGGAACCAGAAGTGACGTTAATTCTGGATATATAGAACTAGTGGAGGTAGGTACCAGAAGGGCTCAGGGCTAGTGGGCTGGGCTCTAAACTAGATGCAGGGACAATGGAGAAGGGGGAGTGGCAACCTTAGAGGAGGAGTAAGGGGGTGGGGAGGGAAATTCAGACTCAGAGGGAGAGTCTAAAATGGGCAGGGTTCCGGTCCTGATGGACAGCTCCTCGTGGCATACCTTAATCCATTTAGGCAATTCTTCAACAATCTGTTTCCAACAATCAATATACGGAAACTGATCATAGAATTCAGGCCTACTAGATACAGCCGCGTGCACACGTTGTACTAGAGTAAGATCAAGACTACCACGTGGAGGCCATGCGGCCACCAAGATAGACTACATTATGTAGTAGAGAGTGGCCTAACGCTTTGGGGATAATTTCACCCCAAAATCACAAACTTTATATCCCTTTGCAAATTTGTTCAACATACACAAGGGATCAACAATCTTTGAGTCAGACACACCCATACTGGCAACGTCTAATACAAAGCAACACAATATCCCAAACACACTTCCAATGATTACACTAGTTTCCCTGGCAACAGCACCACATGGCACAGTTGATAGGCCAAACACACACACGAAAACAGGCAGAGAATTCTCGTACATAGTGATATTACAACGTCTCACTCACAAAGATTTACCAAACACTAGATACTTATCTCTAACGATAAATCAAACCCTACAATTATCCACATTATAAATCAACTTTTAACTAACCGACTATATCACATTCTAGTAACCTCATCTACAATCAGTGGTTATGGTACGGTTAGCAAGTGGTTATAATACAGTTTTAAAGTCACAGATCAGTTGGTAACAGTTATGGTGTTACACATAACATAAGACAACAGTTTTTAGTAATTTTTACACTACATCAGTAGTTATAGTACATGTTAAAGGTTATAATACCGTGCGCTATTATACAGTATACACACAATTTACACTCCCACTAGACGGCAGAGCTCAAGCTTTCTAGCAGGACATACAATTCACCAACTACAGTATATTTAACAACATTTACAATAATCCCAACTATTCTAATTGGCCATCACCTCAAACTATTTACACCAGAAATCGGTTAGTCTATGCTGCCCAAGCACCACATAAAGTGAACTAGTGGGCGGAATTTACAACAGTACCCATTTAGTCTATCTACTCTATCAATAGTCTAGTGGCTGAATTTACAACCGGGCACACTTAGCCAAGATAGGTTGAGACGGAATGTACACCAGAATCTGCTTAGTCTCGCAGGCCTCCCGACCTAGCGACCGAAATTTACAACTAGACACGCTAGTCAAGACAGGACACCGGTGTCCGGCGTAAACTATTTACACCAAGATTTAGCCTGACCCAAACCACCTATATTAGACGGGCTGACTACAGACTGTCTAATTTCCAGAGGGAGGGGGCAATCCAATAACCGGTTCCAAATATAAAACCCCTTGTGGGCCTACTGCTCTAACGGTATCAGTCTTACCTCTTCATTCCTGAACCTGGGTTCACACTCATCGACGGGACACCCCGGTACTTACTACGTAAAGGCCGATTATCTCCTGGGCGAAGCAGCCCAGTGGCGCAGAGATGAAGGGATGTCCACGCAGAAGTTCAGGGGTGCTGCCGTAGAGAACGTTGGTAAAAAGTTTACCGTCTCAAATCTCTGCGCCAGCTTCTGTGCGATGAGGTTCCCGGCCAATGCCAATTACACAAGATGTAACCAAGTAAACTTGTAGAAGCCAGACACAAAGATGGATGCAGGTTTTTAGGAAGTAAGAGGTCTTTATTAACATACCAATCAGGCCTCAGATGAACTAACATTCCAAAACAGGTCTGAGGGCCGAACACATGGAGTACATGCTTTTTTATAGAACTATAACTCCTCCCATTAATAGCTCCACCCGCACATACCCTTAACCAATCAGTGGACAGGATTTGGATTTCCTCATATGGGCAGACCACATGGCTCATCCGAAACAAAGGAGAAAGGAGTGTGATTTCAGTTCCTGCATTCCTGCACATGCTCACTACATTGATGTACTGAGCTAACTGATACAACGTACACATATGCCACGTGGCAAATCTCGGCCTACTAAATTTACATTTCACCGAAATTCCATCATAGAATATTTTCCAACAGATCATATCTATCAGTTTGTGAAATACATTCATCTGTATTATCAACATCTTTTACTAGTTAACATGACAGGAGACAGTATTGAACAAAGTAATTTATTGATAATTCAGTCTGTTCTTTCTTTAGTGTCCTCTCTAGCAAAGCTAGAGCACATACCATCACCATTAAAACATAGCAGCAACCTCTTCCTCTACACTTTAGGCAATGGGTGAATAGACCACAGAGGTGATGGATCTCCACTCAGAAGGATCTTGGAGCCCCAACTATGAAATTTACCAGCTGTGCCCATCATGGTAATTCGGTTACACACCACTCTCTTAGTGGAACCCCATTCCGGGCCAATTTCCTAACCAGCAGCATTCACATCACATAACCCACAAGGAAGTTTGTTTTTCAAACTCAAGGAACAGTCCAATCATGTAATCATTGCCGAGGGAGATCCACACATGTGTATAAATAGATTTGTAAAAATAGAAGGTTCCAGGTGTGAGAGTTATGGGTTGGATGGTTCTACTCATCCAGCAAGCTATCTGTCTCCTTCCCATCGTCTCCAACATGAAGCCAGCCCTCTTTATCCAGAACACTTTGAGTTTCTGTCTCCATGCCCAGGTACCCCATGAAGATGTGACGCCCCCACAGACACCTCAGTCCTGGAGATGAAGATGAAGATGAAGAAAAGTCTATCCTTGTTAGGCATCCTTGAATCTCCCGGCCATGACTGAAAAAAACAGAAGAAAAAAAAAAATCTGAAAATTAAAAAACAAAAACCACATCCAGAACTTCCCAGATCACAACAAAGGGGTGGTGGGGGGGGGGGGAAATCTAAGCATTTTCCAAACCCACCACACCTCACCTCTGCTTCCGGTTACCACAGGACTCTTCCAGACTATGTGCCCCGCAAGTCTCATTAATGCCATACAGCCTCCGAATGCTCAGGCCCACACTCCAGAAAAATTCCATGGTCTCAGAAGTGTTGGAAGCGGTTCCTGAATAGTAGCAGTATCTGCACCGGTTTAATCCAAGCGCTGCCCGAGCAGGATGAAAAACAAGGCGCTCAACAAGAAAGTGAAACGGTAGCAGAAAAAAGCTCCTCATGGGCTCCCTACAAGAGAAAAAGGGAGACCATATAAAAACACAATGAAGGGTGAAGGACAAAAGGAGGATCAGGGGTCCATACAGGCAGTTCCCGGTCCAGATCACATAGATGGAATAGTCCAAGCACATTTGGTTTTCACAAATTTAAGATTATTAACATACGGTGCTTGGGTTGTCATTAAACCAGTAAGAATATGTTTGAGGTTAGAGGAGTATGAATGGGCAAGTACATACTTCTATAGCACCAACAAATTCCACAGTGCTGCACAAAGTGTCTTTGGTTAGAGGAGTAATATATAAGTATATATGTGGTTAGAGGCTGCGACGAAATCCACTTCGTCACTGGTTTTTGGAGGGGCCTGTTTGCCAGCCTCCTACCCTGGGACTTTGGGCCCTGTGATAACCCCTGTTCAAAAGTGCCCCTTGGACTTTTAACTGGAACAGATTCAAACATGTGGCGGCGGCCAAACCTACATTGTCCAGCAGTGTATGGAACGGTTTTGGGCATGGGACCATGTGCACGTTGGGGCAAAAATAAGACTTCTAGGAAATTTTTTGGGGATATGTTGTATTTTGGGGTACTTTTTGGGGTTTGTAAAAATGTATGTTTATTTTCTGTTTAGAGTTAATGAAGTTAGCCCATTGTAATTTAATTACATACTTTTTCCATCTGTACTGTGAATGTTTACATGGTGTGTTCAATAAATACATGGCAACATTTCATTCTTTGTGTTATTAGTTTAACCCCTTAAGGACGGAGCCAAATGTACACAGTGTGAACGAAACAAAATGTAAACAAAACCTGGCATTTGCGCTACATGTCTGTCCAACCGTAATACACCTCTTTCATAGTAAATGCACCCACCCTTATTATATATCATTTTATTCAGGGGAAACAGGGCTTTCATTTAATATCAAATATTTAGCTATGAAACATAATTTAATATGAAAAAAATGGGAGAAAATACGATTTTTTTTATTTTTTTAGTTCTACATGACATTTTAATGGTCAGTGTCATAATACTGTTTGCTTTTACTGCAATAAAATACACATATTTGTATTCAGCAAAGTCTCACGTGTAAAACAGTACCCCCTATGTACAGGTTTTATGGCGTTTTGGGAAGTTACAGGGTCAAATATAGCACGTTACATTTGAAATTGAAATTCGCCAGATTGGTTACGTTGCCTTTGGGACTTTATAGTAGCCCGGGAATGAAATTTACACCCATAATGGCATACCATTTGCAATAGTAGACAACCCAAGGTATTGCAAATGGGGTATGTCCAGTCTTTTTTAGTAGCCATTTGGTCACAAACACTGGCCAAAGTTAGCGTTAGTATCTGTTTGTGTGAAAAATGCAAAAAAATGCCAATTTTGGCCAGTGTTTGTGACTAAGTGGCTACTAAAAAAGACTGGACATACCCTGTTTGCAATACCTTGGGTTGTCTACTATTGCAAATGGTATGCCATCATAGGGGTAATTTTCATTCTTGGGCTACCATAGGGTCTCAAAGGCAACGTAACCAATCTGGCGAATTTTAATGTGAAAAAAATGAAACACAAGCCTTATATTTGACGCTGTAACTTTTGAAAACACCATAAAACCTGTACATGAGGGGTACTGTTGTACTTGGGAGACTTCGCTGAACACAAATATTTGTGTTTCAAAACAGTAAAAAGTATTGCAGCAATAATATCATCCGTGTAAGTGCTGTTTGTGCGTGAAAAATGCAAAAAACTTCACTTTTACTGGCGATATCATTGTTGTAATACATTTTACTGTTTTGAAACACCAATATTTGTGTTCAGCGAAGTCTCCCGAGTAAAACAGTACCCCCAATTTACAGGTTTTATGGTGTCTTGGAAAGTTATAGGGTTAAATATAGTGCTAGCAAATTAAATTCCCTATACTTTCGGCATGGGTTGTCAGGCAGGTCCTGCTAATTGTAATTAATTAGGATACCTAATTATGTAAAAATATTACATAAATATATGTGTAGAATTAATATATGTATATATATACATATGTGTATATATACATATATAATTTTTTAAAATATTTTTATTTATATATAGGTGTATATATTTAGTGATATATATGTATATATTTATGTATATAGATATATATATTATTTCGTTCTACGTGTATTTTGATATAAATATATATATATATATTAATATCACAATACAGTTAGAACGAAATAACAAACATCTATATATTTTTTTATTATTTATTTTTAATTATTTTTTTAATTTTATTTTTTTTACGTATTTACATTTTTTTATATTATATATATATATATATATATATAACAATAATTATATATATATATATTTAATCAGTATTAGTCTACGTGTAATTTGATAGTAATATATATAAATAATTATATATATTAATATTTAAATACACTTCGTGTATGTGTAAATGTGTGTGTGTGTGTGTGTGTGTGTGTATATATATATATATATATACTTAGATCATATATATAATATATATGATCTAAGTATATTTTATATTTAACTGTAATTTTTTTTTTTTTTACTAATATTTTATTTATTTTTACAGGACAGGGGGCAGAGACAGTGTCAGCCAGTGATTTTACATCACTGGCTGACACACAGGATCAGTGATCACAGTGACTGCCTGTCACTGTGATCACCTCCTGCAGATTGGGTAATTAGCCACAGGGGGGAGTGCCTGGGTGGTACAAGCACTCCCCCCTTCCAATCTGCAGGGGGATCTTTGTGCCAGTTACATGTGTCAGCCAGTAGGCTGACACATGTAACACTGATCGCAGTGACAGGCTGTCACTGCGATCAGAGCGCTCTGAGATCGCAGTGACAGCCTGTCACTGCGATCTCAGACTTAGCAGATCGCGGTCACTGACCCCAGGGGGACTGCCTGGGGGGCCAGGTAAGTCCCCCGACCGCGATCTGCATTGCAGAAAGCCGCCGGCCACGTGTGTCAGCCGATTTGAAATCGGCTGACACACGTTAAAAAACTGATCGCAGTGACAGCCTGTCACTGCGATCAGTGACTGCAGATCGCGGTCACCGGCCACAGGGGGGGTTGCCTGGGGGGCCGGGCATCCCCCCCGCCCGCGATCTGCAGCGGGCGAATAGCGCCGGCCACGTGGGCGGCCATTAAAGTGAGGGCGTACTATTACGCCCGCCGGCGTTTAGAGTCGGCTCCTGCAGGGCGTAATAGTACGCCCTCCGTCCTTAAGGGGTTAAGCAGACTGTGATTGTCTATTATTGTGACTTAGATGATGATCAGATCACATTTTATGACCAATTTGTGCAGAAGGTGTGTGAATGGGTAAGTATATATGTGTGGTTAGATGCGTATATTATGGTTGCCTCCAGGCTGGCTGGAAGTTGGACAATAGAAAGGATGCTCCTAGCGCTCAAAGGACCATCAGCACCGTAGACTATATAAGCACTGCAGACTCCACGAACCGCCGTTGCTGGGCTGGGATCTCGCCGTCTGCTATCCACCCTGGACCTACGACCAGGTTCCAGTAGGTGAACCACTTCCTTCTGTAGAGCGAAGCAGGATCAGGAACAAGAGCTCTTACAAGAGCTCAGTAGCTAAGGGAGTATGAAGAGCATAGCAGTCCCTGTAGGGATTATAGCGGTCCCCTACAAACATGAGTCGAGGCTGCAAGTAAGAGGGTCAAGTAGTTCTGTTTAATTGGCACCAAAGGGCCTTCTTTTATGGAGGTCTTACACAGGGTTTTGCAGAACCAACCAATAAACACGTAACATACAGTAATAACACACCTATCAAAAACAAATAAATCCTCAGCTCTGCCTGTGATATAATTACTGAACAAAATGGGTTAAAGTAATTATCACAGGCAGGAAAAATACACTTTTTATACATACATTAACTTTGAACATAAACGTCCAAATATTCAGAATCAGCATACTTTAAATATAAACATAACCAAAAATCATACAAATCCCTCCAGTGGACAAAAAGTTAGACGGAAAGATGGCCGCCGCCACGTGTTGGTTTGCACGAACTGCGGCCACCCAGTGGTTGGCAATTTACCTACAGCAGGCTCCCATCCTGGGAGGTAAATTGCCTGCACACTTCCAGTTCTGGGTGGTCCGCCTGTGTGGTACTTGGTTCAGTGAGCCCCATTTACTGAACCAAGTGGAAAATAGCAATGAACAAAGGATTTTAACCAAGTCTGGGGACACTGGGAATACAGGCTTAAAGGGGCAGTGTCCCAAATAAGTCTGGGGACATCGTCCCAATTTTCCCTATATCCCAAAAATGTGCTTAAAGGGCCAGCAACAGTCCCATAAAAGTCCATAAGCCCCAATATGCTCACAGACTGTTCTTAAAGGGCCATACACCCTCGGTCCATAGTCATGGGGAAGGAGGCTGGCGATAAGGCTTCTCCATAATACAGGGAAGCAGGGCACTTTGTCACTTAAAGAGACCATTACAAAAGGCATTTTGTAACAGCGTACGAATGGATAAGTAAATATATACACACATATATACACTCCTGGTACCCCGATCGGATGCCTCCGCCAATCTCAGCTTCCTAGTAATCCTTAAGTACCATTAGCAACGCACCGGACACTATAACCCCTGTAGTCCCCACTAAGAGCATTACAGCTTGTTTGGGGTCTCGCTGTCCTCCACCCAACCTGGATCCCGCTTCAAGTGGGTAGACCTCTCCTAAGCCAGAGAGTAGAGCAGAGAGCAAGTTATTATAACCCAGGGGTATAGTGATATAGCAATCCCCAGAGTAGATACAGCTGTTCGCCCCACACATGAGATGAGACTATTCTGAGAGTAAGCAGGAACTGTTTAATTGCAGCCACCACTGGCATTATATGCAAGTCCCCATGCAAGGGGTTTTCCATAACATATTCCAGGGGCATTCCCCACTGGACCTGAGAGGGGAGTGTGACAAAGTACATACTAATGACATTGGCTCTCATGTCCAGGAAACTCCCACACAAAACAGGGTAATC